CGCGAACCACTCGACGGGAAGTGTTGACCCCGGAGTCAGCAACCCCTGCTGTTTGATATGGGGGGTGTCCCTGGCTTTACTGGGGGGCTTGTCCCTTTTGGAGGGGCACACACCCATATGCAGAAACAGGCGTTTATTCATCCGGGGTGAACCTTAACTCGAGGAAAACCCCACCGAAGCCCAAGGAAACCCCCAGCAAACCGGGAGTATTGGTGGTCCAATACCCCCCCCATTTGTCACAAGGAAGACAAAGGCAGACCAGAGTGTAAGAGGGGTTAGTTACCCTCAGACCTCTCCGGGGGAAACGGGGGAGACGACTATGGAGCCACCATAGAGCCATAGCCACTGAATTTCCACCAGCCACGACAACTTGCTTCCGTAGCCGTCTGGGGTAATCAGTGGCAATTTGTTTGGAGACAAAACATCAACAACGCTTGTCCCTTCGTCAACTTTGTTCAATCCAATCTAAGATTAGCCCCACCAACCCCCCGCCCCGAACAACTACTTTCCAACAACGCAAGTATGTCACAATCTGATTGACACTCCTTTAGGGATGCTTCGCATTTCCCTTGGAGACAACCAGTGGTACATGGGGCCATCTCAAGATGGTGCCAACCATGGTGCTTTACAGGAAGCTGCAAAGAAACTGCCAGGTGTGGCAGTGTGCGCTGTTTTCGTTGGCATGTCTTTGAAGAAAACCGGCATCCTGAATAGTTGACCACCGCTGGAAAACCTTCTGTGGGCCGAATCACGAGCCCAAATCATATCAGCTTCCCTCTACTTGCTGCTTTGGAGCCGAATCGGTTTGGAGGTGTTCGAATCGGGGCTGTCCACATGAACCAAAAGCTCCAATCCCCAGTTTTCACCAATCCAAACCAATTGGGGGCAAGCCCAACGACAAATTCCCTTTGAAAGAAGCCGTGAGGTCGCGATTAAGGAGGCCCCCACGTGTATGCATGTAGCGGGTGTTTGTGTGTGTCTGGAAAAGCAACTTACGTAGACATGGACATAGACAGAATATACATATTGCGTATACTTATGTGTGTGTATATATGCCTATGCTCAACCCTGCACCGATCGCAATGGGCACATTATTGAACAAGTCGCAGTTCTGCGAGAGATTTGGATGTCACACGTACATGGAAATGTGGGTTCTCAAAATAGGGACTCCCAGTTCACTTTCTTTACCACCAAACAGGTATCCTCAAATAAAATAACAATAAAAAGGAAAAGCACAGAAAAGACAAAATGTTCGGCCACTTTGAACATCGAGCGAAACATGGGGGCTTTACTTCTATACCAAGCATGTCCCCTTTTACCTTTCCAGCTATCGCCTGCAGACGAAATCCGCTTCCCAAGCTGGCACAAGCTCCAACTGGCACACACCGCCCATCTCAACTAGTGCTGATCGGGGGTGAAGTTGGTCCATCCGCAAGGGAGGTGTTTTGAACTCGTCACTTGCGGTCTCCATCGCCAAACCCGTTGCCCAAACCCGTTGCCCAACCCTCCCCCCCCTTCCGCGCCGTGCGGGGCGATATGTCCCGGACGCCTGCGTTGATTGCAGGACACAGCTTGCGGGTACTTGACTTGAAGGTGTTCGAGTTGAGGGTTTTGGCCTGAGGGGTTCCCAAGACGTTTCAGGGGCTTCAAAGTGTTTGCATGGTGTTGATGGTTGATGACGGCTTTTGATGGTTATTGAGGTTTGGAATGACTTAAACCAAATCAAATGAAAAAACACACCCATGTAAATGCCCCGCTCTCCTTCTGGTTTCCCCCGAAAGCCAATGAAAAAGGCATCCCTTGTGGCGCTTGCAGCATTACCCTTTCAAAATGAAACTCACGAGAACAAAAAAACAAAAAGTACTCAAACTTGCCGAAAACAGTCACATAACACAAGGGGCTAAATGATTACAACAGGTTGCTCCTATAAGGCCCTTACAGCGCTGGTTTTGACGCGGAGACTAAAGGATTTCTTTGCAGCCTTTGATCCACGCGACCCAGAAATACCAAAAGGTCGGATCCGGTCGATTTTGCTTTGTTTCATCGGGGCAAAAATGCCTGGCGCCTACCAAGACCTCCAATGGGACACTTTTGGTAAAGGTGTCCTTTTGGCCTAAATCTGCTGCACCGGCCAGTGGAAAAGGCGGTGTTCTGTTGTGTCTTAGCCCTGACTAGTCACCAATATCAATAGTCATTGTGCATCTGCAAGTTTTACAAGTCCAAAACTCCTGAAACAAGAATCGGATCTACAGGCCCTTCACGGTAAGACAGAAACCATTGGTGAGGCTCCTCCGTGACTGACCTGAAACCTCTGTTTGCCATGGCACCTGATAGAGGGTCCCAAAAGAAACTGATCCTCCGGGTACCCTCCCACTGGTGCTATGTGAGTGGAAGGGAGGGCAACAATGCAACAGGCTTCCCTTCTGCCCGCTTCAAGCATCAGGCCACTGAAACACCAGAAACACATGGCAAGCAAAAAAACGTACGTAATACTTTAGCTGCTAAGGACACGTCAAAGGCCCAAAGCCTGTTTGAAGGGTTAGCGAACCAAACATGACTCCGGTTTTGTCCAAAAAGCCGCTGAAGGAACCGCTCGACCTCCAAAGCCCTGCAGAGCTTGGGAAACCGTTGATTCCAAGTTTACGGGCAACCAGCAGCGGTGTGGAAACCTCTTCGAGGGGGGTCCACGCCCACGCAACTCCCAAAGAAAAAACCTGGAGCTCGTTCCCCCAAAGAGTGGCGAAACTTTAACAGCCGCGCCTCATAGTTCACTCCCGACTTAACCGCCGGAAGCTCCCACTGTGAATGGAACCCAGTCTTCCAAAAGGGTTCTGGGAGCTTCCGTGTCGGCCGGGGGAGGCCCCCCCTCCCCCCCCAGCCAGCCTGAAGCACGTGGTGCCTGCCATGCAGCGGCGACTTGCTTTAAATGCCCGTGTTTATAAATAAATATATGTGCGTATACATATATATATATATATATATTATGGGCTCATGAATATGGTTCACAAACCGGAAAATCGGAATCCTCAAAAGTGACTGACCTTCATCAGTGAGCTCATAATTGCTCATACACATGTGTAAATATATGCATACAAGTCACCATCAAAATATGCAGCTGTCAGTAAGTCTTCTCTTTTGGTTGCTAAAAAAGATCGCGAATCCACAGAGTTGTTTCATTTGATCAAGGGGAGTGGTTGGAGTCGTCCAAGGGGTGCTGATTTGAATCCTTTGTGTGGTGCCCTTTTTGCGGGTTGCCTCCTTTGGCACTTGATTGCCCAGCCCCGCAAAACCCACCAAGGGCTCCGTTTTTACTGGAAAGTGGGCGACTTCCGGGGACCTAGGTAGATGGGGAGTTTCGGAAAAAAAGAGAGAAAAAAAAAGACGACTGGAGCCCTGCAACTGACCTGTCCACGAACCTCAAACCCCTTCTCCATCAGTAACTCTGCCGTTTGGAGAATATGTGTTTTTGTCGCCTTCCTGTCAGCTCCGACTGGACCTACGAGTGACCAACCAAACAATATGAACCTTCCCATGGGATCTCCAGGGAATGCCCATGGCCAAGTACGACCATGGAATCTGGTTGGGAATTCTTGGTCGAAAGGGCGAAAGGGTTGCATCACCACGTCCCGCGTGCTTGTATTCCGGAAACAGGGGGGTCCAAATAAAACCTGAGTGCTGTGAATGGGAAAAAACAAAAAAAACATCCTAGTTGCTCCCTCCTGGCGGTTGCCACCATGACACATCAAGTCACGAGCCCATTTCAAGGCTTCGATCCCATTTCGAGGGTCTCAAGGACGCGGCCCAGGCCCTGCGAACCGGATCCCGACTTTCGCGACCTGCCCAATCCGAAAGGGCCAACACCTTAAAAGGCCCAGCCCAGGACCCGGGACTCCAACCAAAATCCAAGAGCACTTGGCACGGACCTAGGAAGAGAAATGATCCCCTAAGAGATTCCAAGCATGTTCTCCACGCCCCAAACCACTACCGCCAAGGTGTGAATGAAGGATATGTGTATATGTATGCATATGTATATGTATATGTATATATATATATATGTATATATATATATAACCCACGGTTTTGTCAGTGTGTGATGTGTACGTACGGTTCTCTCCCTGGAGTAGTCGTTTGGGGTCGTTTGGGGTCCATCTTAGACTGATGGCAGCCGCGGAGTACCGGAATTGTTCAAAGGAAACCTGTTCTCCGGTCCACGAGGGATCACCCCTGAATCATATGGGCGTGGGTCAAAAATGGGTACCCAAAATGGAACCCTGGTAAATGGAAACAAGGACTAAACACCTGCGGTCCCTGCTGGTTGAAGCTTGACCGCCATATTCTGGTGAACTGGGTGAACCTGGATCTTATTTCAACAGGACAGAGATGGGGCCTTGGTGACATGGACAGTGACACCTAGCACGCACGCTGCTTCAAGCACTTCGCCCTCCACCCTCACGTGAGCTCGAACCTGCACCTTATTACGCTTGGTGCGCCAAGCGGGCATGCACTTCCATGGAGGAACCGCAACACCTGTACTTCAGCTGCTTCCAAGGATTTCACAGGATCAAAGTCCAGGGACGCCGGAGCTCTTGATGGGGGGAGGACATGTGGTAGTCCACACTAGCCAATAGTTTAACTCTAACATACAGTAGTCGCTCTTGCCAAATCCAAGCTTCTGGCCAATTATTCAGCTGAACAAAAATTGTCCTACGTAGTCTATATATTCAAAAAAAAAAACAAATAAGACAAGCATGTGAGCCACTATCCAAATGTGCGACCCTTGTGAACATTTTCCCCAGCTTCCGTGGGGTGAAGCTCCTCCCATAGTTCTGCCAAATTGACAATCGACAACTGGAGATGTTGGCCGGACCTGAGTGTTGAAAAAGAATGAGCCCGCCCAAAAGCGGCAAGCAATCATACACTCCCACAAAAAAGAAACACTCCAAGAAACGGGTGGGGGGTGGCTGTGGGCAGTTTCCCTTTTCTTTGGGACCACACGGATATCACCCAAGTCTGACTTCACAGGCCTGCACATCCTGCGAGGAGAAGTGCAGCAAGAAGCGCCGGCCCTGGAAATCCGTACCGCCTCGCGGCCGCCGAAATCGGTCCACGCGGGGTCGACCCTAAGGGAACCTGCGGGATGGACCCCGCTGGGTTTAACCAGGATTCCTGTAAATTTGATAGGGGACTTGTCAAGGGTTCTTGGCCACTTCAAGTGGGATGGTTATCCAAGTAGCATGCAACCCTTTAAATTGGTGGCCCAAGCATTTGCGCGAACAAAGACACGCCTAGATCTTGGCCCAATCTGGTGTGAATCTTGAAATGTGAAACAAACTCGGCAGGTTCCGACTCAGGTAGTGGGGCAACTTCCTTGGCGTGTGCATATATATATATATATACATGTGTGTATATATACATGTAAGGTGATCATTTTTTTACCAAGTCAGCTCTTGAAACCTGGGCTGATGCCACTCCTGAGCTTCCCTTGAGGGGAGGCGCCCTCTCACTTACCCAAACCCACCAACCCAAACCACAAAATAGCAAGGGGGGGAGGGATAATCTGAGCTCAGGCTTAGTCAACTAGGTCCTCCAGTAGAGAGGTTAGAATAAGGGACCTTTTTTTTCTGTAGTCTATTTTAGTAGGGGAACCCTCCCAAAAAAAGAAGGTAAAAGGGTACTACTGGGGGACCTGGTCAAAGAAAAACACACCATCCAAGGGGCCCGGAAAAAACCTATCTCTGAGATGTAGCGCTTGGTCTTGGGGGAGCTCGCAAAGGCTTGCGCCCCTGGATGGATGAAAGTCAAAGCTACCAAACAAGAAGAAGAAGAAGAAGAAGAAGAGAAAAAAGGGGAATCTGGGCCACCTCTGGCGCAAAAAAACGATTTGTTCTAATTTCTGTTTCATATTGCAGTCCACCCAAAAAATGTAGATTCGTATGGAAATTCTGAGACCCAAAACATGATCCGCTGAAAGTAGCTCGGCCGACCCGGCGTTTTGTCTGGTTTGGGGATGGCAAAAATCGTGCGACGGATCGCTTTTGATAAGCCCATACCGCTCGAAATTAGTATGGAAGTCAAAAGCAGATTTTATAAACATGTGCCGCAAGTGCATTGGTCAAGAACCATTGAAAGATTTGTCCCCTATGGGTGACATGCAGGGAAATCCTAATTCCGGGACTTCTGAACCAGGCTAATCAACCACTTACTAGGTGGGGTGGTCATTCAAGCATACACCGCATACACCAAAAACAAAGTGACCAAGGAGCCACGCGAAGCCGCTCACCCCAAACCCACCCAAAAAAGGACCCGCAAAACCCCAAAACCCGAACCCCACCCATTACACACTGTCTCATCAGTACGCTATACTACCACATCACGCTTGAGAACGGAAATGGCCACGCAGGCAAATGAATTGCTTATGAGCCTGTCTTCAAGCACCAAGACACACAACCAGAAAAGCAGAAGCATTTCAGCCCCACAAAACACCACCACACACCAAGTTGGCCCACCAAACTTGGTACTCGTCCGATTCTTTTCCGCTTCATGTTAAGTCTACCCTGAAACATAAAATCCGCCTGGTATCGGACACTCCGGCCAACCCCACCCACCCATATCCACCCACCCACCCCCAACTCCCCAGACTCCAGCCAACCATATCCAGCCATATCTCCCCCTCCAGCCAACCCCCCCCCCCCCACCCATATCCAGCCAACCCCACCCACCCATAACCCCCCCGCCCCCAAACCCCCCCAAGCCTCGCGTCCGCGGCGCCAGCGTCACCTCCAGCCGCCTCTGCTTCTTGAAGGCCGCGGTGGGCGCCGGGCCCGCAGGCACCGCCCAGGAGTCGGACGCCTGGCGGAGAACCAAAAACCGACGACAGCGACATCGACGTGGAGGCCTCCAGGGGCAGGGGTTTGGTGAGGGGGGGGGGGGGGTCGGATTACCAAAAATAATGGCTCCCAAATGAGCATAGCGTCTTTTTAGTGGTTTTCCAACCAATGTTCATCCTATGCAAAGGACCCCTTGGTCAACCCCCATGTGCGGTTCGCAAAGTAGGGGCTTCCTTTTGCATAGACGGCTTATCCGTGGCTTATCCAAGGCTAATCCAAGGCTTATCCAAGGCTTATCCAGGGATAGCCTCCCCCCCTCATAGCCCACCGTGACTTTCGGTTTCCAGGACTCGGTTTCCCTTTATATAGATGCCATGAAAATGAAAGGGGGCCACCCATCAAAACTTGGTTCTTCACGGTGCGCAAGCCGGACAAAGCTCTACCATTGACCCTGGCCCCAAGGGAGCCTTTGGCTCCAATCTCACTTGGGGTCAGCCAGCTGCCGCCGCCATTTCGCCACAGTTCGAAACCCTCCATGGCAAGACCTGGTAAGAAGCCACATAGACCCAGTCCCAGTAGTCTGTGGGGGAACAAGGGGGTCGGCACTGATTCTGCTCGGTTGATGTTCACAGGACACCCATCCACAACACAACAAAGGGCGCCACTGGGTGTCTGGGACTAGCTGTCCGGCAACTATGACTCTGAGGGTCGAACTGGGGAGGTGGACCCAGTTTTGGGGCGGCTTTCCCTTTTGTCTTCTCTTTCGGGAGTTGGTGTCCCATTTACCCTCCACGAGAACCAGGGACCATTCAAATCCCCAGTTTCCATCCAACAGCAACTCGGTCCAGCGCAAGAGCCAGCTGTGCACCAAACTATGTTTGGGTTTGCCTTGAAATAGAGGAACCTCAAAAAATGTTGAAGTTATTCTTGGCTTGACCTTAAACCAACCCCACCCAGTGTACTTTTTCAGAGACAAACCTGGTTGGTAGGGCATTTATGAGACCCCCGGTCCCTAGCTGGGTCCCAGCTCCATTTACAGTCCGGGCAAATTAACCTAGATTCTGGCTCGCTTTCTTAGCACCGGGTTTTTTCTGTCCCTGTTAAACCTTCAGGGTTTTGCCAGGTACTTACCGAGCCCACCAAGCAAAAACGGATCCCTGGGACTCGCCTGCAACAGGTCGGCCTTGATCCACTCCTTGCCCGGAAACCGCGCGGCCTCGAGTGCTCAGAGCTCGAACTGGGACTCGAAACCCAAAGCAAAAGTCTGTTTATGGGCTCCCCGATTTGGACTGAACCCAGGTTGATTGTCTGTCTTTTCCATTCGGAACCAAAAGGAAACACCCAAAAAACGGGCGAATCCCGGGGTCCCGGTGTCCCCAAATTGAAGAAAAAACTCATGCGGCTTGAAAAACGGGGGGGGCTTAGCTTCTCCCCCAACAAATCCAGCTTTCTCCTTGTGGTTCCACTTAAACGACCCCCGAACGCGGAGGCACCTTCTCCCCCAGAACCGACAGCTAACGGTCTTCAACCTTCAAGCCTGAATTTGGGATCGAAATCTCTGCCACCATATGGGCGCGTCTTTTGTTGGAGTTTTTTGGTATGGTTCCAACGCCTTTCCAAGAAAACAACCACAATGTTGAGGGGTCCAACCTTTAATAAAAAAGGCCATTTGGGTCAAGTGTGATGTTTTTTTTGAGAGTACCCTTTTTGGAGTTTTCTTTAAAGGGAAAGGAAAGCCACAATGTTGAGGGGTCCAATTCCTAAACCAGACGCCGGGCACTTGACTCAAACGTCCGAGGCCCGCCTGGAAGCCTTGGAAGATCACCTCCCCGTCGCTGCTGAGCGAAGGCACCTTGTCCTGACACACCCCCGCTGAATCGCTAGGAAACCGCTGCGAAAATTGGTAGGGAGTGAGAAATGGAATGAACCCAGTTGCTTTGGGTGTCCTAAAAGGAAACCACCAGTTGGATGGTTTATAAGGGTCGGAGACTACGCTGAAAATGGTGACTTCTTGGTTTTGATGTTCATCCACAGTTGGGTGAAAGATGGCGCAATTATAGGTTGTATCCCTTTTTTTGGAGGCCATTTTTTGGAGACGTTTTAAAGGGCGGAAACGAACCATGTTTTGGGGCACCCCTATGCTAAGCACTCAAATGCTCAGAGCCCGCCACGTCTCAGGATCCCAGTAAAAGCATACATCAACACACTGCCTGTACCAGGATTCGGATCCTGGATCAGTAGGTGATCTTGGGTTGTCAATAAGGCCTTGGGAAGCATCCTGGTCTTAATTGAAAACAACATGCAAAGGGACGACCACCTTCAGCCTCAATGGCCAACCCATGTGTTTCGGGTCACACAGGGAGTCAGCAAGCTTCTGTACACCCCCCTGCACTTGTGTCATATGATAACCCCTAACAGCATTTATCACGGAGAACCCGGTTTTTCAAGACTAACCCTAAAAGTTTGGAGGGGGCAGGGTGGTTCCAGCGCCAAGGTTGACAAAATTACTCTAGTGCTACCGTCCCCATTCTTTTCAGGGATCCTTCTTTCTAGAAAACCTCCGGAAAGCCAGGGAAACGGCCGGTTTTCGAAAAGAACGATGGTGGGAAAGAACGGGGAATCAACCCTTAGAATTACATGTCGTTTGCGGATCAAATCGAAGCGAGTTTGACCTTTCTCACCGGTGGGTGTTCCTGTTGGTTTCCTTGGACCGTTCCCAAAAAAACAAAAAGGCACCCATGTGTCCCATTCGGTGACCGTTTGTCGGGGTTGTTCTGGACAGTGGTGAGGCATAGTCTGAGGATTACTCCTTTGAAGCCGTCTTTGAAACCCCATCCTGAAGTGTCTGGAAGGGAAACCAAAGGCAAACCAACCCCAAAGTGGTTCCAGAAAGGAAGGCCTGCGAGTTGTCTAAACGCTTGGGGCTTCTCTTGTCAACCCTAGCGGAGCTTCCCGCGGGGCACCTGCCAGTTTCCCAACGCGAGCCCCCTGTCACACCTACCTTTCGGTCCACCCAGCCCAAAACGACGCAGAACCAAAACCTCAAAACGAGGCCAAAACACAACACCAACGAGACCCAAAAACGGAGAGACAGAAAAAGAAGAAGAAAAAAAAAAAAAGAAGAACGCAACCAAAGCTCCTTGCGACGGACTTCCTTCTGGGACCTTAGCTCCACTTCCCCGAAGCTCCTCCAGGTCCGAGATCCGCAGATACAGATGCTCCAGCGCGACGTCCTCCTCCTGGGACCTCTCCTGGCGCGGCTCCGCACTTCCGCTCGCTCGAGCGGTCTGACTGCTGCTTAGGCCCCCAATCCCGAATCAACAGAACCAAACGACTATTTGCTGTTGAAAAGAAGAAGAAACAATAAAAGGAAGACCATGGCAAACACAGAACCATGAACAGAACCAAGCAACTGTCCAAAGAAAATTAGAAGAAGAAACATACATGCCGAGAGCAGTGAAGTTCAAGGGTCAGAGTCCTTTGAGGTGCTGTTGACCTCGAAGTTTGCTGGTAGAAATGTGTTCCCTGAGTTGAAAAGCCGCGTCTGATTCACTGGAGGGAGGGTTTAGTAATAAAATCATGGGTAAACAATACTAAACCACACTGATCCCACGCCCTTCAAAACGTGACATCTCTTTGTTGGCTTGAAAAGGAAAATGGATCCGGTTTTTTTCTTAGGGGTCACCCTTGTGGGGCTGTGCGAAAAATGGAAGCGAGGAAGAGTGAAAACCACCGTTTGGGTTCACCAAGATGGAATGGTCAAACGGTAAGCGCTAAGTTTGCGAAGTCTCATGGATCTGAAGGTTAATGCCCGACGGTCAGTCGTGCTTCAAACATGCGGCAACCAACGAGTTCGAAAGTTTTCACCCAGAACTCCAGTGTCGTGCGCTTTTGCTTGCCGGTGGAACATCTGAATGCAATCCGCGAAAGACAATGACACAATCCGAAGGGAGCCCCAAAGAGAATCCAATTCGGGCTTGGGTCACAGAATCAGCCCTCCCTTTTTGGCTGGCCCAAAACCTCCCTCTCACGTCCTGAGTGGCTTGGACGAAAACAAGTCCCGGAACGTCTTGCCTACCACCAAAATGATCCAGACTAAGATGTTTTCCAGTCCAGGAACTCAGAGAGTGACTTCCTTTAACAAGTACCCCAACACCTTGGGACCCTGCGGCCTTGGACCATTTGCAGAAGGAGAGCAGCAGCGTGACGCTAGTGTCCATGGCCACCTCACCGGCCCCAGCGAGTGCCATGGTTCAAAGACATGGCCGGGACATTTTCTCGTCGGCCCATGTTGACGACACTTCTTGTGGGAACCCGGCGGTGTGTTTTATCTTTTAAAAAAAGTCCTCTTCATGGGGAGCTTCGTGAGCAACTTTCGTTTGGTGCTGTCTTTTTTGGAGGGTAGCCTGTTTTTGTTGGTTTTAACGGAAAACCACAGGCAAAACCACCCACTTTGGTGGCATTTTGGTGCAACAGTTGCCATCGGCATGTACGAGTTCACATGGGGCTGCAGGCTCGCACCTTTTTGAAAGGAAGTCCGAAGCATCTCCAGCTGCGATGTTTTGAGACGAACCCACATTCTAATGCTGACCCCGGGTTTATTGAAGTTGTAGATGCGACTCCAAGTAGAAACCAAAAGTAAGAAAGGGGGCAGGCAACCCATGTTGCCTGCTTTTGGGGTGACAAGTATAATGGCACCCTTAAGAATGTACTCCTGGTGGTTCAACTGATTCCCCAGTAAAAGGGTGGCCGGTTAAACCCTTGACCCAATTTAGACGCCGTTCTTGGGAACCCAGGATTAACAAACCCGTCCTATTAAAAGGTGGGTTCTCCTCCAAAAGTGATAACCCCCGATGGAACTAATGGTTGGGACCCAATCTAGATGAGGAAACTCCTGAACAGTAAATAATAGTGGTTACATTCCCCGTTGAAGCCCAGGGTAGAAGTTCGTAATGGGATCCCGAAGTTCCTAATCGAAACCAGGAACTGGCAAACGGATCTTGCGGATCGATTTTGAACGCCACCCTTGGCCTGCAAACTGGCACAGCAAAATACATTCCCTTTGAGCACCCTTGACTCCAGCAATCATAAGGAAGTGGACGTTTTGGGGCCCTTGTCAAGGATATTGCAAAGTCTATCCCGGTCGACTCGCACATCCGTCGCACATCGCAGCTGAAGTTGTTCTGGCTTGCCGAATTCTGAAAAAATGCTTCACCACTGCAGGTCAGCAGAATAGTTTATCTTGATTGACGCCGCTTTCAGCAAGAAGCAAGACATGAAAAGGTCTAGCCAGGTCAAAGACAACTTTCAAAGCTAGTCTCCGCAAACCCCAGCAAGCATAAAGCGCCCGGCACGGGTTGCTTCGCGAACATGTTGCTAAATAGCAATTCAGTCCCTTTTCGCCCCAGACCCCCCAGTGACCCTGGGGAAGAAAAGTGTTCCTTAAAAAGTAGAAGTTGCTCGAAAAGTGTTCTTTTAAAAATAAAAACTATAATTTAAAAAAAATGTTCGGTAGCTGGTTTCAAGGGCAATCCCTAACTAGGCAACCAGGGTGACCTTACATATTACAGCCGCAGGTCTGGCTCGAGGATTTTGGGCTGAACCTCGGGGGCGTTGGTTTCTCATGAGCGGCAGTTGAGCACCCAAACCTCGCATCGGCCATGGGAGGTACCTGATTTGATGAAATAGTAGGCCTGAACCTTACGGAAATGCTAGAAGCCACAGCCGTCCTGAATCCTGAGAAGAAAAACAAACAAAAAGAGAAGAAAAACAAAGAAAGAAAAACATCTGACTCTGACCTTCAAACACAAGCTCTCCAAACCTTCCCAAACCATGACACAGATCTGCTTTGGAGAAACTACAGTTTGATTTGTTTTTCAAACTTGTCAAAAAACAACTCCCCAGCCCTTAATTGCTCAACCTCCGACGCTTTCGGAGACTGGCGATTGCCGCCGGGCTCTTGGAAATGAAACCTCTTCTTGGTGGCTCCCAGCCATACGGTTCCTTAGCTTTTTAGCTTCTTAGTTGGTTTAGTGGTTGGGTTTCCATTTGACCCAAAAGTTCGTCACCTTTCGCAGATCTGAAATCGGGCCCAGTCTGCAGGTCTCTCAGTAGGCTCAATGAAACCCAAGCTCAACTTGGCGCATGGGCCATGAGTCGAATTCCATGGGAAGGGAAGAACCGGCCCAAATCTCTGGGCCCGAACCTTGGAACGACCAAAAAATGATCTTTAGGGGTCTAATTGTTAAATCGAACCTTGGGGTGTCTCTCTTGTTGAGGATGCACCTGTTTGGGTGGTTATGAAGGGAAACTGAAGGAAACCAACCCTTTTTTGTGGTGGGTGGCCCTGGTTAGAGGCCAACCCACATAGGTACGAGACGTGGAAAAAGGCTGCGCTGTCCTTCATTAAAGCTGGTGCAGTTTAATCGGTCGCTGACCAAAGAAAGAACACAGCATGCACCGTGCTTCCAGAAAAAAAGAAGAAAAAGAAGAGTAGGCAACCGTGGGCAACCAATATGCAAACGGTGAGAACCCCTGGTGAAGCCAACTATACTGGCTTGCTTGGACAGGTAACCTCATGTCCAGGGGCACAATTGTCAGACCTTTCCCCACTCGAGTGCCTGGGTCCTCCATGCCTCAGAAAGAGGATGGTTTGAAAGGAAAATACAAACCCACATTGCATTGTTGACCCTGGATTTTCGTTGCCACAGATTCGCAACTCCCCCAAAAATAAGATGGGAAGAAAGTCCATGCCTAGTTTCTCGCTTCCCGGGTTGGCCGAAGATGGTCTTACGTCCCGAAGCTGCCTCTGTCTGTCTGAGAGAAGCCCGAAGCCGAAACCCAAGATTTGGCAAAGAGGACCCCTTCGAACCCCATCCCCCATTGCCAGCTGCTCTTGCGTCAGGAAAAAGCCATATCTTTTTCCACGACCCACTTGCTGTCACATGCGCTTAATTCACCTCCTGGTTACTCACTTTTCCGATCGAGTCGATTGGCCAAGAAAACTCGCCAAACCTGCTTGTGTACCACTAAAACGGTCCAAACCCAAAACTTGCTTACAAAGTCCGAAACGGAGCTCCGTTTTAGTGCGAACTTCTTTTGGCGGGCCTTCTGACCCCGCTTCGATTCGAGGCCCCGGCAGTGACCAGCAAGGCGCCGTGGCTGACGCCGTTGGGGGCGGAGGGCTGGTAGGAGCCCCGCACCTGGACCACCTGACAAATCCACTAGCAGGGCGTCCCCGGGCTCGGTAGAGCGAAAAAAACGGGACGCCTACCCCGGTGGTGGAATTTTCAAGGGAAGTGGGGTTGGGTCTACCGGTTGAGTTTCATCCAAACTCCCAGATATGGGTTGCCATTGTAGGTTCAATTGCCATAATGGAGGTTCAAATCCCGCCGCCAATGAGTACCAATAGAGGGTTTCCTCATATGTGTGTGTGTCTACTTTGAGGCTAACCCCTTTTTTGGGCTCTTTTTTTGTTAAAGCAAAGGGTTGGAGGCTCCCCCAATTTTGAGACAACCCCTTCAGAGAAACCTTCTACAGGAAATTGGCCACCTGAAGACTTGCGTTCCTCTAGGTGTCTTAGATGTATGAATAAAACCAAGCAAACTGTCGCCATAAAATGCCGGCAGCCGGCAGCTTGTGGTTTGACGATCTTGCCGCTTTATCTCACCCCATGCCTTCCATTCTTTGGCAAGTGCATCCAGCGCAATGAACAGATGCCAAGGCGCCAGATCCAAGTCCTCGCCGTTCTGGGCCTCGGCAACGAAGCCAACCGGAAATGAACACAGGGAAACGAAACTCGCAGGATTTTGTTTGTCCAAGAAGTTACGGGAACTTCTACAAGTCTGTGAATGTGGGATGGTTCCACAAGTCTGTGACTGTGGGATGGTTTTGAGGGTGACCAAAAGGAAACACCCCACTTCTGGAGTTTTGAGAGGAAGACCCATATGTCTGTGTTTTTCAGGCACGGTACCCTTTTCGGGGCTGGTTGGCCGGTTTGAAAGGGAAACCACAAGGAACACATCCTTTTTGTTCTGCATATGTTTGTTTTTTGTCTTTGGGGGGGCTATTTTGACACAAACCCAAATGGAAGCCCGAGAGGAAGAACATGGATAAGTAAGATAACAAGCCCAGAAAAAACGACAAGCCGAACAAATGGGTTATGTATGAGAGGCAAGGAACCCAAAAGGACCAGGGTTATCTTGGGAGTTCCACACAGGTTTTTAAAAGGGTTGTGGTTTGGGGGTGCAAAAAAAAATGTAAAAGAAACAAGAAACATGGAAAGCCCAAGAGACAAGGAAATAATACCGGCTCAAACTCTTCTACTACCCCAAAAAAGACCTAAGGCAAGCCCCAAGGCAGCATGTATAGGGCTTAAAATGGAAAGCATGAGAGGAAGACACAAGAGAAGTTCCTATAAGCTCTAATGATGCTTGATCGCCAAATTTGGAAATCCAAGAAAGGACAAACCGATTGGAAGCCAAGGAATGAAGGAAGGAGCAACCCTGGCCCAAACAAAAGGGGGAGCCGAAAGGCTTTGATCGGTCGGCTTTCTTTCGCCGGGCCTGGAAATCCCTTGCGCCTGAATTCATGGAAGCTGAAACTGACCAGAAAAAAAAAGGACCACAAAGAGGAGCTAAAACATCGAGGGCAAGACTCACATTGCAGATGCCTATTGTATGGCATCTGAGATGAAGATTTCAAGCTTCGGCAACTCTTCTTCAATGGCGGGATGTCAGCTAACACGAGCTCACATGACTAAGGTCCCTTGCTTGGGCACTGGTGCTCAACTGGATGCTCTCCCCGGCGCACGCTCCGATACAGCTCGCCCTTTTTCGGCCGTACCCACGGCTTCCCGGCTCGACTGCCCTAAAGCGTTCGGGACGATGGGTCCGGAGGCTGTGTAGTGGAACCGGTGCAAACATGATGCAGGACTCGGCAACAAGGGATCACCTGTTGGGGTCGCGATGGACACCGAACGGAGAACCAAGAAAGGGTGGGCCCAGCAAACTTAAGAACCAGAATCCAATGACTGAACAGCACAAAGAACGAAACCCGGAGAAACCTGCAGAACCCCCTCCCCCCCCAACCACCGTGGGGCACCAAAAATTTCCCGCTCGGCGTTCTTTTTGGGCTCCGAGTCGCCGCCACCTTCTCCAGTCGCATGATGGAGGGCTCGTCCAAGTGCCCAGGCCCCTGGCCCCCCAAATTGTTGTACCGCACCTCGGCGCGAAAAAACGAACACCCGGACCGAGGTCCATGAAGCGAATGGCCGGCGTGGGGGTCAAAAATAGGGGAAACCCCAAAATGGCAACGAGGACTAAGACCTGCGGTCCACATCCTGGTGGTTGCCAAAATGGCGGTGGTCCAAAATGACACCACTCTGGTTGAACGCCAAATCGCCAAAATCAGGGTCCAAAGCTCGCCACTTGGGTGCTTCGGTCAAAAAAATGGAATTCTCAAAATGGAAACGGAAATGGAAACGAGGACTAAGACCTGCGGTCCAGATCCTGGTCTAACTTTGACCCATACCCAACTGGCCAGCTTCTTCGGACCCTTCTTCACCTTCCCCCGTTTGGATTGGGGTGGAGGTTAGCGATGCGCTTCCCACAAAAAGACTCCACAAGATCTAGGGGTTCAAATCCCAAAACCACAAATCCCAACCACCAACTAAGGGTTAGAGCCCCAGTCCAGGAGATGCCCCCGTCCAGGAGATGCCATTGATCGGGTGCCTTTGATTGGCCCTCTAATTTGCCAGACTTGTGGATTTCCCGGTAATGGGCACCACGGGAGGTCTGGGAAAAAGAACATTTCAACACTTGGTCAGAACTCCAACGAGAGAAATTGCGAAACACAACCCAATGGCCTTCCCCTGAAGCAAGGGCCAATGTCGCGGATGTGTCGTTTGTACCTCAACTAAGCCAAGACCCCAGTGGCCGAGAGAAACAAGGGCACCCATTCTTGTTGGTATTTGACTTTGAAGTGAAACCCCTCCAAAAAAAGGAGGAAAAACGTACACTGGGCAAGCACTTCAAGGACAAAAAAAGGCAAAGGACCCTAAGAGTCATGACCCAAAGCCCAGAATGCCTTCAATCCACCCATTCTCTCGATGGTCGCCGAGTAGCCTGGTTTCCCCTGGTTTCCCCCGTGGGAGTGTCTTTTCGCGGAGTCCCCTTACAAAAGCGGACACCCAACTAGGTCGTCGAGGTCTTAGGAATCCTCTTCAGGCTACTTGAAACCAAACGCGGGAGCCTGGATGAAGCACTTCGCGGGGTTGGAGCAAAAGGTCGATCACCTTTTCCCCCAAAAAAATATAGGGAAAGACTTGGTCACACCATGAGACCAGCCATGGTTAGCTGGTTGACACTTGTGGTGAGTAATCTATTCCCCCGAATACTAAACGCGGACCCCCCGCCCCAACCATAAATAGTCTCTGGGGGGCAAAACATATTTATTGATAGGGTCCCTTGGGTCAGATGGGCTCCCCTGGAGACAAAGATGCTCATCCCTTGAAACAAGCAGAAAACGAGCTGTTCAGCCCTTGGTTCAACCACCATCCAATTGATAAACTTGGCTTGAGGGAGGCAGGCCAGGCAGGAGGACAAATCGAAAACAAAAATCGGCTTGCCGACTCAGGTGGGGGGGGGGGGGGGGGTAATTCTTAATAGACGACCCTTTGGTGGACATCATTTAGGTGGGGGGTTCTTGTCCACCAACCACTGTGGAAGTGGTGCCCACTCTTAAAAAATCATGGCCACAGTCCTATCGGCATAGGTGTCTTTTTTTAGGTTAGTGCGCTCAAAAACCGATGGCCCTGATTTAGGTGCCCAAATACAATCCACGGCCAGGTGAGTCGGTGAGCCTCTGAACTCCCCTCCAGCCCCCTTGTCGGCCTGTGATGGCTCCAGCTTCAGCATATGCCCCAGCCCCAGCTCCTCCGTTTCGGACATCCGGGACGAAAAGACCAAAGGAGTCAAGCCGTACGGATGGACAAAATCCTGCATGACGCTAAGTATACTATACTACTAGAATTCCCATAGTTTAGGTATCTAGGGTCATGCCGGATTTTGTCCATCAACGGTATCAAGCCCCCTCTTGGACGTGGTGGTCGGTGTTTTGTTTGACCCAAAACACGGCTTTTCCCGAATGACTGACAAAAACAAGGGTGGGGTCTGCTGAGTCAGCAACCCCTGGTTGATTTTGATTAGGAATATCCCAGTTTCCAAGTGAATCCAGATGACTTTTGCTGCGAACACCCCCTATTGCACCGAAATCAAAGCGGGCTCGGGCCGCTAAATAGGCTGGAGGATGAGGAAAATCAAGCAAATGGGTGCTACAAAGGGAGGGGGTGTCTGAAAGAATGGAACAACAAAGAAAGAACATCATTGTTTGGCTTCCTTTACAAGAAATGTTCTAAACAAATGTGGTATGTCGCACCCACCGAAGTCTTGGGGTGCTTGGCATGGAGTGGACAACCCTGAAGTTCCGGGATATTCGGGGTCGAGAGGGTTTCTAGAATTCATGTTGCTGAGGGTGTCGTTGCATATGTGTTGCCCCTCGTCGTGATCTTTACTACGGTTTGATTTTGAAGTGGGTATGTTGCTTATCTGATGCTTTTTAAAGGGAGCCACGCAAAATGGTGGCTTTCCTGTTTGGTGTCCCTTTAAACCCTCAAAAAGAGACAGACCCAACGGGGGTATGAGCCTTGGGGTATCCTTACTTGGGTCGGAAGGTTTGCGCGGCTCAGTCCTTTGACAGAGCCGCGCTCGCCAGAGCCGCCGCGGCCGACGCGGCCGCGCCGGAAGCAACAGCTCCTGGACCAGGTGGGGGGGGGGGGCTGGGCCCATGGATGACAAATACCTGCAACATGGCATGGGCGTGTTGGTCTTTCAGAGAACGGAAAGCAAGAGGAAACCCATTCTCCATTTTTGTCGTTGCTTTGAGGTGAGCCACCCTTGAGTCAGGTGGGTGGCTCGATTTGAGCCATGCCCGAAGGGACCAACCCCACACGAGCAGCAAAGAGCTGTGGATTTCCCAAACATGCGACGGCAAGACTTTTTGCGGCAGGTGTATCCCGGTGAACCATTGAATGACATGCGGTTGCCCATATCTTTTTCGCCACTGGAACCATCTCGTTGCTCTTCGTGGCATAGGCCCACGTAATCCAGGCCGGGAACAAGTTGATGGAACCAGTCCCGCTTCCGGGCAAGACGAGCCGGCTGACCATAACCCCCCTTCAATTTAACGAGGGAGTTCGGCCCATCTTTCTGGTCGGCTTACTTCTCGGTGAGCTCAGATTTGTTCTTTGTCCAAAGGTATGTCGTTTCAGCTGAGACATTGCAAAGGGCTCCGCCCTTTTCAAGATCAGGACCCCATTCTTGGATGCTCCAGGCGTTGCCATCTAGGAACAACACTCCGAGCCCTTGCGCTGGCGGGCAAACCAGCATAGTATATTATATATATATATATTAATTTATGTCCCTCCATCTCTTCCTTCTTGGGCCCCAAACAAATGGCCCCGGTGGCCCCTTGCGGCGTCCGCCCAAAAGCCAACTCCAAAGCACGAGCCGCAAGCCAAAAGGCCTACTGAAACGGGCAGGCCGGGCAGGGCGGCGAAAGCTCGCAAAGTGAGCCAAAGGAAGCCGGAAGTTGGAACAGGGAAGTGAAAGGACCCACTTGGGGAACCGTGGCTCAAAAAAATATTAGTACTGGCCCGATCGGGTAAGTGGAAACCATGGGTACCAAAATCCCAAACCTGCGGCTTGCCCCTGCTGGTGAATTAAAAAGCTTGAGCCACACCCAAAGGACGGCAACAGAAACCCAAGCCATTTTTTGGGAACCCCCTGAAACATCACTTGTTTCGCTTGCCAAGATTGAAAAAATACAATCATATCTTTTCCGCTGGCCTACTTCCCAGTCAATCTTAGAACGCATCAGGTGGCGTTGTTTCAACTTGGGAAGCGAAATACGTCCCAAGCGCCTCGCGGTCTCTGCTGAGGTTTACGGACAAAATCCAGCAAACCCACACGTCAGTCCAGTGGCAAAAGGGCATCTCTCTTCGCAAGCCGTCAAAACTACCAGTAGAGACATGGCGGAACTCACCATAAGTTTCAACCACGAAACCAAGGGACCCACAAAAAAGGACAAACAGAGAACCAGTGTCCAAGCGAAAGTCCAACTCGGTCCCTCTTGAAACCATGAAAACAAAGGGCACCCCCAAAGTGGCCCCAAAACCGTTACTAGTTGCCCGGAACCCACCGCTCCCCAGCTTTCATAAAGTAACCCCAGTCCTCCGGTAAGGGACCAAAGGTTTTCTTCCCCAAACAAACCGCACGGTCTAATGAAGGCCTCTTCCTTTGAGGATCCAGGGAGGGTTGATTCGTTATTAGGATGACCACCCCCCCCACCCTGCGGTGTAAACAGGTTAGACGCAGCAGAAACCTTACTTAGGAGACTTGCTGAAGGGAGTTATTTCACCTCCACTTTCTACATCTCACTTCCTACATGGGCCGGCAAAAGGCCAAATTGTTCTCTACCGCTCATGGGGACCAACAATAAGTTCATAGGGGGTGCCCCGTTTAGTGGGGGACACTCAGCATTCAACTGGTCGTCCCAAAAAAGTATGAAGTGGAACTCGGGAGCGAGCAGTGGATCTATCGCTGATTGTATACGCCCAAATATGGACTTCTGGTATGAACCCCTAGTTTATGGGTTGATTAACCGTGAGTTGTGGCTTAATTACTTTGTTGCTGTTAATCCCACTGCAAAAGGTTGTTTTTCACTTTTTACCCAATAACAGTTACGCAAAACAACAGTAGCTAACCGAATGTGTTGTTTTTCCCTAAAATGGCCTTCCGTGCAGGAACTCAGGAATTAGTGCTTTCCCATTTGGGGTACCTTCCCCTTCGTCCAGATTATAGGAAAGCCCCCCAACAAAAATCCACGCCGATCCTCCGCTCGGAGCCAGCGACGTCGACGTGGAGCGCAGCGAGACTCCTGCTCGGAGTCGAATCGGCGCGCTCGGGGGAAAAACAAAAGATGGGTCCTCTTCTTCCAACTTGGATAAGACCCCCTCAGACCAACACGGAAGCTCCCACAAGGCCGCTGTAAATGGAACCAAGTCTTCCAAAGGGGTCCGGGGAGCTTCCATGTCAGTCTGGGGGAGGGCAAGACCCCGGAAAAAAAAAAATGTCCAGTAGTGAAATCGATTCCCTTTAAAACCAACAGGGGAAGAAACAAAGCAACTCAGCAAATGGGTCCTCTTAGGGATCATTCAGGCGGTTCGGTCGAACCCTCTTGTTCCGCCTCCCCCAAAAAACCGCTCGCTCCCTTGGTATCAAAGATCACCTTTGTGGAAGGCGGTGGGACTCATCTTGAGTCGCCCTTTGGTTTGTACCAGCCTTGCTGTCGCGGGTGAAACCAGGTAGGGTGTCTACTAAAGCGTCCAACAGCGGTTTTGGGCAATAGAGGTTTGGGGCAAAGCTGTGGTTCGGTGATGCTGCATATCCGGGTTGCAAATCGGTATGTGTCCCCAATGTCATTCCGCTGGCTACAAACGATTGTGAAAATGCTGTATGGATGGGAAAGAATCTACTTCGCGCCAGTTGGATGGATGACACCCTATGAATATTGGTTTGATACATGGTTTGATACACCACCAATCATAATCAAAACCCGGTATTAAAAGGGTGTACCCAGGACCATGCAAAGAGTTAGAAGGCGGCCGCAGCGATTTGTGGTTGGAATTGTCCCTTATTAACCTGCATCTACCCGGGTTTTGATGGTGGCTCAACTGGCGCCTGGTGTGGCCACAATAATTCCAGCATCCGAAATACTAGTCAGCCCAAGCCAAGCACCTACACGGTGATCATTTTCTCGCCCCAAAAACACGGGCACAAGCTCCGATGCTCCCGATCCCATCCTGGCATCCGCTCGGCTTGCACCTCGGCTGCTTGGGTCTCAACCAACCCCCAACGCCTCAAACCGTTGAGCAGTGAAACCTGCATTGACACTCTCCGCAAGCCACGAGTCGTTTAGGACGTCCCAGTCCAACACTGTCGGCCTACCCATGTTAACGCGAGTGAAGGCTCGGCATGGGAACCCAGGCCAAGCCCCATGTTTTCCCCCGTGGGCTTCCCTCTGAAGCCACTTCAAAAATGAGGGCAGCCTCGCGTGTAGTAGGGATTTGGTCGCCCCGGACCAGCCCGGAGCCTGTCTGGGCTGAGACCCCAAAGCTTTCAGCTGTTGGGGAAAAACCTTGGGGCCTGCGTTTGCCACCCAAACAGGTGGTACTCGAAAAACACACGCCATTGCGTGGTTGACATAAAGGACATGAGAAAAAACGTGGGCGCCCCTGTGTTGGTAGGAAATTGAGGGGGTTTGCCAATGTCCCAAACCTCAAATGGATAGTAAACGACTGGATATGACCGAACCTCATGTTTGCTTGCAGCGGCCCCACTATTTTTGTCAAAGTCAGCTCATTATCAAGGCATGATCAAAGTCACCTCCCAAATGGTACGTTAAAGGGAAACAACCCCAGTTTCTGACTTTGATATCCCTCCAAAACACTCAAAGCACTGATTGAGTGATCCCAGTTACATGCCTTCAAATCAGAAATGAACCCGTACAAAAGGAGCCATCACCGTGGGAAAAATGGGTTGGACACCTAATGGCTGCGAGTTCATTTGCCCAAAAGCCATAGCTCCCTTTGGGAGTTGCCACCCTGATTCACAAGAGGGTCTTATAATTCTCCGCCTGAACATTGCCCCATGGTGAGTTCCTTGCCTAAAGGGTGGTTGAAATGGCCAAGTTGAATCCTGGGAGCTCGTTTTGTTCATCCGCCAGCTGTCATTGGGGTGGAAAAAGAACCCCGGTGCACACACGCCAACCCTCGGTCCTGCCAGCATGTTCACTTGCTGCCAGTGGGAACAGAACATTTTTCGGCTACTGAAGTCCCTGGGAAAAATAAGAACACGATGCTAGTAGCCATAGATCCTTTTAAAACAAACAGGGGACAATAAAGAATAATGTTAAAGCAAATGAAAGACGACTGATTCACCTAGGCTGGTTGAAAGGGAAACCAAGGGAATCATGGCCAAATGTGCAAGCTGAAACGAGCCGGAAATAAGGATAACCTTCCTGCTGCTTTTGCCCCCAACCAAAAAAAATGGTTGATTCTTGTTCGTATTTAGCTAACATTGAAATGTTAAAAAGAGAGAGGGGGAGAGAGAGAGAGAGAGAGAGAGAGAGAGAGAAAAAGCGAGAGCGAGGGAGAGAGGGAGAGAGGGAGAGAGGGAGAGAGGGAGAGAGGGAGAGAGGGAGAGAGGGAGAGAGAAGAGGGAGAGAGAAGAGGGAGAGAGAGAGAGAGCGAGAGAGCAATCCGGGATTCATGCAACATAATTCGCCCATAGCTTGCTTGAAGAGTACCCCACGCCCCCATTCAAATTGGGTGTGGGTCAAAATTAAACCACCAAAGGACCGCAGGTTTTTGTCCTTGGTTCTATTTGCCCGGGCAAGCCATTGCGGGGTTAGCCTATTTTTGACAACCACGGCCAATTCATCATTCAGGCCCTGCCAGATCTCCCACCCACTTCCCCAACGACGCCCCCGATCGACCCCATTCGATCGCCCCCCTCGATCGTCCAAAGGGCCACGTCCGGGGAGCGCAGGGCGATGAAGAAGGTGCGGCCCAACCAGGAGCCCCCCACCAGATTGCCTGCGCACCAGCTTCGTCAAGGGGCGCTTCGGTGGTCAAAACCGTTGTGGTTGATCCCATATTGGGTGGGATTGGTGAATTCACCACCCATGTTAGAACCTATTTTATCGGGGATTGGGTTCACTGGGGGTACGATTTGGATTTCGACCCATGGCCAAGTCACTTGAGAGGTTCTCAAGATTGCCACAGTGCCGAGAATTTCAGCTCTGATAGCAATAGAAGCGCACCTGGTGGGTTTGGGAGGACTACCATCCCGAACCAAACTCAACCCCTGCGCAAGGTGGCGAGGATTGCAAACATATATTAAGACCTTGATGCGGGCTTTATTCAAGAAGCCTTGGATCGAATGCCGGTCACGATCGATTTTTTCCCCGTCCCAAACAGCCACAAGATCCCAGGTACCAGATCCAAGTTCCAACGCCCCCACTACAAGGTCGCCCTGGGTGAGTCATGACTCATGGAAGCCAGAGAATCACATGCCCAGATTCGGTGGATTCTCTCGCAAGGCGTTGGAAGCTTGGCAAAAGGAGGCTCACAAGTCAACCTTTTAAGCGGGGAAGCTGGGGAAGCCTCGAGAACACCCCCTTCTGCAAGCTGTGGGGTTGCCTTGCTCACAGCCAGACAGGACGCAGTGCAGTTCCCAGTCTCCGGCTTCTTACCTGCAGCTCATCTGTTGGAAAGGTACCAACTCCATGCCACTCAGGAGAGACCCGCACCTTCTAGGTCTGGGAACCGTCCGTTTCGCCAGTAACCATAGGACCTCTGGCCATGTGGAGGAAATCTTGAGAACTTGCAAGAATCCCTCGGTTCAGCCCGAAAGGATCACCAATCCTATTTGGTAGTTGACACTTGATTTTCAAACTCTGGCAACTAAAATGACAAAGAAGCCCGCCATGGTATCCCAAACACTATGTATTCATGTTTGGGGGCTACAACTAATTTTGAAACCAACATGTTCGGCAAATACCGATATGTCTTAAAATAGGGGCACCCGCATGTTCCTTTTGGCTTCCTTTCAAACCAAAAAAAAGGGACCAACCCGAGAAAAAGAGAAGACGAGCCACCCATCCTTTTGATTTCCATGATTTGCTTTCAAAACCCAAGAAGTGTTCTGCCAACTCCCCAAAAACGAAGAAAAGACCGGGCCGCCCATCCCGGGCTCACCCCGACCAAACCGAACCCGGGGGAGCGAAAAAGCCGCCGCCTGCGGAGGGCGCGGCGGCCAGGGTCGCCTCGAAGCCCCCGGAGCTGCGGAAGAGCAGCGTGGGGGCGAGGCCCGCGGGCACTTCCCAGACCTGGCGGCTCTGTAGGCCGGCACTCCCGTTGAAGCCAACAGGGGGTTCGGGGGGTTTGGGTTCCGGGGGGGTGGGGGTGGGGGGGTTGGGGGGTTGGGGTTGGTTGGGGGGTTTGGGTTGGGTGGGTGGGGTTCAACCCCCTTGAAAGCCAACAGGGGGACTGCAAAACAACATAGTCTTGAGCAAATGACCGTTCGACCAACACCCGCCATGCTCCACCCATCCCAGAGGGCCATCAATCAGAGGGCCAACGGCCGCAAACAGAGAAGCCTACAGTTCGGGTACCCATAAAACGAAGCTTCTGTTTAGCCAGCGGATTCCCCATATTTCCCTACCTTTTACGGCAGTTTCAGCATCAGCTTTGGCACCAAGTGTCCTCGTGGGCGATTCTTGAGCGGAAATATTGGGAGCCCTGTTGATTGTCACTTGCGGTTGCCACTTTGCCTAAAGCTCGGCCAGTGCCCAACAAAAGGTGACACTTGTTCTGTGGGAATTACCAATATTGCAGGAATTGTCACTTTTTTGCTTTGGTACAGCAATAAGAGGTCAACCTTTTGGAACCTTTACTAAAATGGGCCAAGAAGAAATAAACTGAAAGGCCCCAAAAATGGCTGTGGGCACCATTAAGCTTTAGCAACGGCTTCTTGCAGTTGGAATTGGGAAGTTCATTCCCATATTCCCTTTCTGGAACTTGGGCTCAAGGGTTCTGACCCCTTCGAACTGACCCCAAGAAGCTCGCGAAGTGGTCAGTAATCCGGAACGGGGACTTGCAGCTATGGATTTGGTGACCATGGCAAAGCTAACCACTTAGCTGCCGGCCATTGAGTTCAGCCTTTGTTTGTCGAAATTCTTTCTAGTTGTGCCTTGCTGTATCCTACAAGTTGAGCTTTGCCTTGCTTTTGTTTGCCTAGCTAATTTCTAGTGGTTGCCCCCCCCCTTTTCCGAGCTGTGCCTCATGCTCTGAATTTTGCGGTGTCTTGGTTTTGTGTTTACTGGTGTTGCCTCTCTTCATTTTGTCGTTTTTACATGGAAAGCCCCGTTCCAAGTGGGCTCTTCTACCAAGGGTACTTTATTGGACTGCATGAACCACCCTGGGCAGTTTGCCGCGTCTGGGCCACGCAACATCTGGGGAACCCTGGCCACTGCCCACTGCGGCTTCGGATCAAGTGGCGGTTCTTCGTCATGGACTATGAAGACACCAGCCGGGCAAAAGTTGGAAGTTTGAGCTACCTGGGTGTGGCTCAAAAGAACATGAAACCAGGGGTTCTTAGATTTTCGTGCTTTCTTGTTCCTGCCCGGGTAGCACACTCAATAGGCCTTGCCCTCCAGAGCCAGCATGGTGCCGTTGGGCCAGTACGCCGCCTGCAAGCTCGCCGGCGCCGGGTGGGGTTCCTCTAATCCAGTCCAGAATGGCATGGTAGCAAAAGACTGGCTCTGGTTCTTGAAAAGGCCCACCAACAATAAACAGAACCAATAAACGCAACAGTGATGTTTCCGGTGTGTTTGGCTGGTGGCCATCCAATCTTGGAAGCTGAGAACTACTTGCCGCTTTGGGGGAAGCTCCCCTATCGGGAAAAAAAAGCGTACCAACCTTTCACACCTCTCAGTAACCTCGCCCCACGGCATCCTCCAAAAAGCTCCGGGTGCCGTCCCGAAGAGTCAGCATGGGCCTTTCTTTTGGGTTCGCGCCCAAGGGCCGCTCTTCCCGGTGCACCCCGTTTTCACGCCGCCAAACCAGAAACAACCCAAGAAAGCCTGATGTAGCTGTGGGTAAGAATTCAGGAAACCCCTGGTGAACATCAAAATAGGTGGCAAAGGGATGTTCATCCACCCTAAAATGGAGCCATAGTTTCTGCCCCATGGCCATGTAGCGCCAAGGGGCAGGGCGTTTATCCAGTCACTTGGGGTACCCTAAAAGTGCACCATCAAGACACCACCTTCGCACTGGAGAGGTCCACTCAATCGACGGCAGGAATCTAAGGAACTTGTTTGTGGCGAGGCTTACCGTCCATTCCAGGGTAAAGCAGCAGACCGATTTCCGGCATGGTCTGATCTTGGCGCACCTGTGAGGTACTCCAGATATGGCATGTTCTTATTCTGTGTCTGATTTCATCTATCCAAAAAATAGAAAATCGATTTGGAGGAGACTGTATCTGATCTAATAAAAAGTACAATCTGTGTCTGATTTAAGCTATCCAAAAAATAGAAAATCGATTTGGAGGAGGCTGTATCTGATCTAAACAAATACAATCTGTGTCTGATATAGTCTATCCAATATATATATATATAACATCGATTTGGAGGAGACCCGAATACCCACGTCTTTTCGCTATCGAAGGACCCGCAGCCTCCGCGTGCTTGACGAAGACCTCGCCCGGCGCAACACCTTGGAAGGGATCCTGGCGAACCCAAAAATGCGGTCGCACTGCGGAGAAGAAAAAAGAAAGAAAGAAAGAAAGAAAGAAAGAAAGAAAGAAAGAAAGAAACAAAACAGCAAATGGCCCGGTTGGGCGAATGGATACCCTCCCTAACGTGGAAGCTGACAGGAGGATTTTGGAAGTCGATCTTCCTCCCCAGGAAGCCTCCGGTCAGCCTTCATTGTTCTTGGAGAGACGGTGTGTCTCAACATGGGAGAACAAAGGCGCGAAGAATCAGCTAAGATCACGACAGGTTGCTTTCATGTGTCACATAGCGGGACCCCCCCCAAAGGGATTTTGCTAACAAAGGACACACCCACATGTGCATTTGGCGGCAGGAAAAAGCTATGGCAATCAAAATCCGTGAACTGTGAGAAAAGTATCTCTCAAAACAGGGGACTTGTTTTGGAATGGTTTATTTGCAAACCGAAAGGAAACCAACGAGGCGCAGGGGACCTTTCTAACATGCTGGCAGTCTTCCAAACCTTCCGCACTTTCATGATTGGTAAAAGGGTGAAAAAATTAGACATCCGCACATCAACTATGCAAAAACCCCCCAAAAACCCCTGATTTGTAGAGGAAGCTGCTTGTGGGACTTTGGGGGACCCCGGATTTTCGGAGGTTCTACCTTGACGCGCAAACCGTTTTTATTGGCCCTTTGGAGGTCCAAACCGGTGTTGACAAACCCGTCCTCGGCGTCGAAGATGGAGACGAAGAGCTTGGACACCTCGATCGGCTCTTCCTCCTTGGCCTGGAAATTGCTTCGGCCACGGTTCCAACTTTGGGCGGGGTCGCTTTTTCGGGTTGGAAGCCCTTTTTGGCAGGTTGTAAAAGGAAACCAAGAGGAAAGCCATCATTCTTCGTTTGGGGGGGGTCCCTTCAGAGAAAACTCACACCCAGAGCCCAATACGTGAGGCTTGATCAATATTCCCTTCAGCCCCCTCAGCTACCACGGGTAACTGTTCCCAAAAATCAGCATGGGTAACTTGCTTGTCCCATGTGGTTGACATATCATCTCTGTTTTACGGGTTTTCCAAACGAATGGTCCCATGTTTTACGGGACCTTCTGATCAACCCTGAGGGTGTGACTGTAAGCTTGGACCCCATGGCGTTGCGGTTTTCCTGGTGTCCCTGCACGCCAAGAAAGGGTACTCTCCAAAGGACGAGCCACCCATGAGCCACAAGGGCATGGAGATGTGGCCGCTGTGACTCTGGTGAAAAGTCTGGGACCCTTGCGCTTTGTGCCATGTTGCTAGGGCCTGAGATTTGAGCTAACTAGTCAACTAGTCCAGCTCCAGGTTTCAGGCCCCTGGCTCTTTCCTTTCAGCGGTTCCTTGGGCGGCTTCGCCTGCGTTTTGGGTAACCCGGTCGAAGGGGATGGTTTTTCTTCGCGCCTTTGCCAAGGACAGTGGTCCGAAAGGGCAAGGCCGAGCCCATCATCCGGCACAATCAGCCACAAATTGGGGGGCTGCATTTTTTGAGATTGCGGCTACAAAACCCGCAGGGCCCCAAAAAAGCCAAAGTTGGCTTTGCCGCTTTTGGTGTCCAAGTCTGGATGAGTTCAAAGCTAGCGGGTTGAAGGCACGAACCAAAGAGTTTGACGCTCCAAGGCCTCCAGGGGGGAGAGTTGGACCCAGGTTTTGCCCTTGGTGCGGGGTGAGGGCGAGTTTTGGCCGTTTCGGGTTCCAGGACGACGCCTAAAATTCTCTCAGTGTCAATGTGCTCCAGTGTCAGGCTTCTGCACGGGCATTCGCTTGCATGTGTGTGTGTGTGGCACCCCAAAAACAGAGTCAGGCTTATGTTTTGCCAGCATTTTGCGAGAGCTCTGTTGCTGGGTTCTCCAGCATTCTGTGCAGGCATGGCCCAAAACAAAATAAGTGGCACATGTGCAGCAAACAGCAGCCGAACATCCGCCTTGGTTGTTCAACATCACCTTTTGGGCCCATTGGTGAGTCCTTTGTTGATGCTAGCTTTTGGTTTGAAATACAGAAACGCTATGGCTGCGGAAAGCCCTACTCTTTTGTGGGGGGGGAGGAGGCAAAGAAGCCCAAGAGCCTCTCAGCCTGTTGAAGCCTGTCATTGGGTATGTACTTTTGACATGTTCCCTTTGCCAAAAGGGGTGAACCCCATTTTAGCCTCCGCAAATCGTATAAAGGATAAGCCCTGTAGATGGTTTAAATACCTTCAAAATGTGGGCATCCGAGTCCTGCAAAACAGACACACCCAAATTAATCCAGCGAGTTTTGGGCTATTCCCAGATTCCCTGCTCAAAGTCTAACTTCCAGTGCTTCGGTGGAAACTACTAAACAAACCCTACCCAAAAAAACCTAAAGAACCTAAGGAACCGCATGGCTAGTTGAACCACCCAGGGTTCTTATTCCTCGAATCCCACCGTTTTTCCACTGGCCAAACCGACCAGCGCCCCATGCACCGCGAACCACCACGCCCACGCGCCTCCAGGCGCATGGGCGTGCGCACCAGGCGCAGTTGCACGACGGCCTCCGTGCCCGCAGCCACCTCGAAGCGACGAGGTCCGGAGGGAAAAAGCCGGAGGTGGAAACGGAGGTTTTATTGTAGGGTTAAAAAAGGTGACATATAGTATATAGGCGTATTATCTGGTTATATGTATATATATATATACACATCATAGGGTTGATTCTACGCATGTTATGGTTGGGGAGGAGAGATGGTGACACGCCATCCAAAAAGAATTCGATAAGAGATGGCGTGTGGATGGGATCGGCCCCTTTCTGTAGCTCTTCAGATGGAGGGGTCGTTTCTAGAAACCAACAAGGAAGGAGCTATGCGCTATTTTGCGCATGTCCAAAAGCCCTGAGCATGGGTGGTGTGCGTTTGGCGCCCTGGATCTAAAGAGGGTTCCGTCTTTTCGAGCCGGGAACCCCCAAAGGAAGGGCCGGATGGCTCGACTACTCTCCAAATGGCTTCCCCGGATTTCGCAAAAATCACGCGAGCAGCCGTGGCTGCCGGTTGCGTGGTGGATTTCCACAACCACATGCACAGAAGGGGTCCCTCAGCTTGAGGCCCAAAATCATTTGCAGATCAGTTTATCTCAAAGTTAGGGACCCAATGCGGTTGGTTTCCTTTAGGTTTGCCCCCCAAGCAAGCGATAAGGAGAAGGGGTTCCCACAAAAGGCACACCCACATAAAAACCTCGTGAACTTCCAAAACTTTGTGTAAACAAGGGCCAACCAAAAGCGGGACCCTCATATTTCGCCTCTGGTTCCTTGCACGCCCTTTTCAAGATCCACCCGGGAGCGCCAACCAAAAGCCCCTGAAGGAGGCAAGTCGAAGGACTGATGTTGACTCAGATCCCCCAAAATTCGTGAGAGCACTCTTGGAGGGTACTTCAAAGGAAACTGACCCCAAGGTCGTCTAGGGCACAACCCTAGTTTAAACCCCATAGTTCGAAAGCTTTAATTTGTGGTACTTAAAACAAACCGCAAAACAACTTCAATAGTTGGAAAACCAAGCTGTTGGATCTGGAGGAAAAGCGATACCCTCCCTCGCACTAACACAGCACCTGTGGAAAAGTACATGGAAGGTCATTTTCCTCTTGTAGGGTACCCCCAGTGAACATCCCAATTCGCACTAAAATAGGTTCTAAAATGGGTGATGCACCTGCCCCAAAATGGTACCATGGTTTTGACACACAGCCATTTTAGTGGGAGTGAGACCATTCGGTACCTTCAAAGTTTTCGGACGGGCGCCCGGGCATTCACAGCGGCCGCGAAGTGATGGCCCCCCAGGCCGTTGAGCGCGGGCCTTTGGGGCCGATAGCCCTCCTTGACCCGCAGCACCTGGGCACAGCTTCCGATCCGATGCTTGGATTGGTCCCGCCTTGCGCGCCTGTCCCAACCTGAGGAAGAAATCCGATATGGGTATGTCGTTTTGTTTGTTCCTTTCCTTTACCCCCTTTCAACGGGCACCAACTCCAAACAAGACGAGATCACAACCTAAACAAAGAACATATTCTCATAGAGCCCAGCAACACCAATCTTAGAGCAAACCTCAAGGAAGAGTCTGTTTTGCCAGGCGGTTTGGAGACATGCGCACTCGGACCAAGAGCTTTGTGAAGTCCGGGATCCGACGTCAACTGGCTCTCGAGAGGTGCAAAACCCCAGGAGAAGAGTGCGGGGGCAAACGCTTCTGACCATAGGTGTCCTTTGGCGAAATAGATGGGTGTCCCTGGTAAATGGGGCATGAAACCGATCTAACCAGTGGAACACACCTAGTTCAAATCAAACTAGGCTAAAAAGGACACCGAATGGTTCTGACCCCCTAAAAGTGACAACTTGTGGAAAGCTGAAAGACATCCAAAAAGGGCAACACGGCTGAAATAGGCTCGATTCAAGGAAAGGCAAGTAGTTGCGTCAGGCTGCGAGTGAACAGATTCACTGTAAACATGCGCCATTGGATCTTCTTTGCGTCGCACCTTCGAATCTTCACCGCTTTGTTTGTAAACGCCAAGGGGTGTTCTCCCAAACGTGATCCGAACCCGACATGAGGCGGTTGCGGTGCCAATCAAAACACCAAAGCACCTCCCAGAAGCAAATGCCCGAAATCTACAAAGGCGACGCCTCCTGCATGTCGGGGAAAAACATGTAGCCCTAAAAAGACCAACTAACAAAACGCAAAACCCGTGCTTTTTGGGGGCCCCCGCAACCCCTGCAACCCCCTGGAGCCCCCCTAAACCCCCCCCCCCGGGTAGGGACCCCGGCCACGTCCAGCGAGGTGTTGCGGCCCCCCAGCCCCGCGACGGGTGCCAAAGACCCCGCGCCGCGGAACCGCAGCTCCGCCGGGCCCCGCAGCGGGCCCAGACCCCCCAGGTTGTTGCAGACCACCTGGGGACCCGCCGTCGACCCGGGCGCCGACCCAACCAAAGAAGAAAGGAACGCGTGGCGTGGCATTTGTGTCTCCGTGGTTTTTGTGTGAACAAGTCGCAAATGATCTTCGCACCCATGCTTTTTAAACAGGGCGAAATAGAATTGGGTGCATGTTGAATTCAGTTTGAAAAGCAATGTACTAGCTATGGTTTAGCGCAATGTGTTCTTTTTCCCCCTGAAACATCAGCTTTTGATTGGATTCAAGGCGCAACAACCTGTGGAGGAGGATATGTGTTGGAACCCTCACAATGGGTGGTGCCCCTGTTCCTCTTCCTGGTCGGCCAAGACCTGGCTCGGTTGGTTCAAAGGGGAAGGACCTATTGACCTGTGGTTCTGCCAAACTGGCTATAAAGTTTGTATAAGGCCTATTAAAAGCAGAATGCAAAAGCAAAAACTGGTAGCAGAACAACCTAAACCCGCGAAAGACATGTAAAGCAAGCCGTCAAAAGAACCAGGCACCAGTAACACCACGCGTGTCCTTCTGAGGAAATCATGCGGGATAGTTTATAGGGGCATTCCCTCATTCCCTGCTGAGAACCAGCAAGTCCACTTCACCAAGTCTTGGGGAGCAACCCTGTGGCAAAAAAACAAGGCCCCTCTCCCCTCTTAGCTAGTCCTATAGGGGCTTAACGTCTGGAGCCCCCTCACCAAATGGCCACAAACAAAATGCCGTCACTATCAGTCATGGCTTTTGGGCTTCCGTGTCAATCTGAGCAAATATGAACATGTGCAACATGTGCCTCGCCAAATGCTCGCAGGAGTGTGTGTGTTTTTGAAAGAAACATTTGGGCTGGTTTCCAGGGAGAAAAGGAACACCACCCCTTCTTGGGTCCAGGGCCCTACTTTGACACATACACACACACAGGCCCGGAGTTTCACTCCGCGAAAAGCACGAACAAGAGGCTTTGACAGAACCCTATCAGTAACGTTCAAAGCAGCTCGCAAACAACTTCCCAAACGTTTGGTAGCAAGGAAGGCTGTGTTGTTGCAGCCATGTCTAACAATGAAGAGAACCAGCACACTAAACAAGAAGCAAACATGCAAAAGAAAAAGTGAAGACTACCTCAGCTAACCCCCCCAAAAAAAAGAAAAAGAAAGGAAGCACCAAGAAGTATGTGTAGATTCCATGAAAAGAACGCCTTAACAAAGTGGCAACTTGATTCAAACAACGCCTACCGCATGCGAGGTGTTCACCCACACCAAAGACAAAGCTTCTCTGCTAACAGGACCGCAAACGGGGAGGGGGGTGCCAGGCACAAGGGCGGGGGGCTCCCTTGTATTTCAAGGGGGGGGTGTCCCTTTGAAGTTCAAAGGGACTCGAAAAGGTTTGGGGCGAATCAAGCCAACAGGTCACACCCGCCACTCCCAAGTCCTTCCGCCCCAACTCTTTGGGTCTTTGGCTCCGGGTGCCCCAGCGTTGGTCTTCCGCATCACCAGGCTCTGCCCAAAGTGCGGCACCTCAAGCGGGAGATGGTGGCAAGAAGTTGCCCTCCCATTGACCCACCCACAATTCAGATCTGGTGACCCGGAATCACACCAACTTGAACACCCACACAATCACGTACACAAACATGAAGATGGGTTTGTGGAACCTCACAGGTCTGCAAAAACCCAATTCCTTTCAAAGGGACCCCCGGTCGATGGGTTCTATGGTGACCCGTGTGACACCAACGCAAACCGTGCGTGGCAACATCGTGCTGGAGCGGAGTCCGGTGGTATCACAGACAATGGGCCTACTAAGCTTTCCACAGCCACGAGTAGGGCAAGCATCAATCTCCCCAAAAGTTCAGAAGATCAGTTCGGTGGTACCAAGGAACAGCCAAGAAGACTCAGCTGCAGGGTCCGGATGGGATTCAAGGAAGCTCAAAGCAAACCAGCCACTTTACCCATTGAAAACACGGCATCCCTATGCAAGACACCTTCGGTCACAAACCCCGCCGCTGCCCAGAGGTGGGTACTGTATGTCCCACAACACATTACCTGGCTTTTCGAAACTGCAGGAAAGCGCGGCACAGCCCTACTCGGGCACACAGAAAATAACTTGTTGGGACTGTGTGTCCTATTTCGGTCATTTTTTGAGGGTACCCTTTTTGGGGCTCATTTCAAAGGAAACCCCGAGTGAAACCATATTTTTGGGAGGGGTGCCCCTACGTTACACCCAAATAGTTTGGGAGAAGAACCCAGTTTTGGGGCGGGGCGGTTCATTTGGACATGACAAGTCTCATTGTAGACATTCGTTTCCGATGGCTGAAACCCGGGTTCCTGCGCCTCTATGCGCGCTGCAGGCACTGCGGAGCCTCCGGCGGGGCCAAGGGGAAACCCAGCTTGGGTACACATTGGGCTTCGGTCAACATAGAGAACGTAGTGGCTCAACTTTCTATCAAACCTTGCAGATACGAGGCTCGTCTCAAAATAGAGAACCCCAATTTTTTTTGGTGGGAAACGGCTTTGCTTTCCCTTGAACCCAAACCTAGAAGGGGTACCCAAAACAAAACACGCCAAGTCGTGTTTTGAGAGTTTTGAGACAACCCAAATAGGGACACCTCCCAAATTGGGAGGTTGCCTCACTTCAAGACCTGGACACGTTGCCCTACCAACAAAACTTTTGAAGGTCCAACAAACACCAAACCATGTTGGTGGGGAGGCTAATCACTTGTAACCACGAAAATAGTGGCCAACATTGGGGGTGATCCCCCCAGTCTTGTCAACCCTCGTTCGTTTCAGCGACCCTCTGCCAAACCAAGATGGCGTGTGCTGAAGAAGGACCCACTCACCTAGAGAAGCTACCCCCAGAGAAATGACGTGAAAAGCCGACCGCAAAGCTCAGGGAGGGACAGCTAGCTGTGTTTCTTCTGAAACAGCGGCCTTGTTTGTTTTAGGCGGGAAGTTCCCAACCTAACAGGAGGGGTCCACTGGAAATTGCAAAACAAATCCGGCGGGCACAGTCCAGCGGGTTCCGTCCAGCGGGTTCCGTCCAGCGGGTTCCGTCCAGCGGGTTCCGTCCGGTTCTTGTTTTTGGAACCCACCAAACACAAAACGAAACCGGTGGGTTTCAACGAAAGCCGCTGGTGACGTCGGAACCTGTAGCCCCTTGCCCCCGGTCTCGGGTCGGCTCGGGGCCGGTGGAATTTGGCGTGCCGGATTCGGGTGAACCTACACCATGTTCCCCTGCCAGGGAAGGGGTCCATTTCTCCAGTCAAGGGGGAAAGGACCTAGAAGTCAGGAGGTTTATTCCAGGTTGAATTTGCGGTTGAAACTGATAGACTTTCACAAGACAGCTTCTCAGTGTTTCAGTGAGAGTATCATTAGCTGTGGTGACGTACGATGTTTGGTACGCTACTCCAATTCCATGTTCAGCGGAATCTGTGTGCAGCGTGCGTTCGTGAGCTGAAAGGAGTCAGCCTCCAATGGCAAACGGGCTCTGGCTCCATTGCAAGGAACCGATTCAAACAATTCCTAGCTCAAACGGTTTGCTCTGCTAAAGCCATCCCCCCCCCAGAACAATCTGGCTTCGCAAATCCGGGATCAACATGAAGCAGTTGAGCGCCCAAAGTTCGTGTTTGGTTCTACCAGGTTCAAATCGACATGCAACCCAGGTAGCAAAAATAACTATGTACGTGTCAGTATAAGCTCCCTTTGGGTTTCCCTTTAAACCAACCCTCAGAGGTTGGTTGGTTGGGGGAGAATAAAGAAACTAAAGGGTACCTCCCAAAAATGGCGGTCCTTTTCAACCCACCCTCACCATTCTTTGCCCTGGAAACAGAACCGAACACTCCCATCTGAAGAATTTGATCGGTCGGTATGGGGTTTTACATCCATTGCATCCGCAGTGTGGCTGTTCAAGCGTGAAAATGTGCGAGCAGCGCACTTGGACGGTTTGTTGTTTCCTTTTGGGCCCCAAACCGGTAACCCTTGAATCTATAGGTTATCAGCCGTAGGCCCCTAGCTCTAAGCAATGGACGGTTCCCTTGTGCCAGTTGATGGATCCAACATGCCTGTGGATGCTGCCGGAGCTAGCTCCGACAACGCCACCGGCGGCGGTGTGCGAATGTTCGCATCAAGCGCTAATGCGCAGTACAACCGCACCCTGATGAATTCCCTTCAACTGTACAATACCGCAATCTTTGCTTTTGGGAATGATGCAGCCATTAGGTCTGAAGCCGAAGCCCTGCATCAAGCAGCTGTAACGCATTTGCAAGCGGAAAACCGTGAGGAGCTCCGTGCCGCACAGAATCAGCTGCATGCACACTACGCTGAATGTGTGCAAGCCCAGTCGCATAGAATTCGTGAATACGAACAGCGAGTGAGCGATGAGTTCATTCAAGAAGTGAACTTCGCTGAAGCTAGGATAAGCCAAGTGTGTGAGGAAAATGCCCAAGCATTGCATGAAGCGGAAATGGGACACAAAACAACTGAGTTTAGGCAAGCCATCGAATCCACCCTGGCGGAAGCCCAGCAGCTCCTCCATGAGCAAGCTGCCAAGCATGCCGATGACACAGCCCGTGTTGAAGCGACACACGCCAGGACGGTTGACATGATGGCCCACCAAAACGGGCTTCTGCAGGACGAGCTAGATGAGCTGAAGAAGTATCAGAAGCAACACGACCTCCGCGAGGATGGATCGAAGCCCAAAGGGGTAGGTGATACCCGAGAGGATTCACCAGAGTTGATGACCGACGACATGAAGTCAGCTCGGTCCCAAAGGTCAATGTTGGACCCGTTGACCCATCCGTTTCAATATGCAAAGGAAAAGTTGAGGTCGCTTGTTACCTATGACGGTTACGGGGATGAATATACCCCTAGCGTGATTCCAACTGCCGAATGCGAAGCACTGCCCGCAGATGCTCGCGATCCGCAAGGACCAGCTGAAAAGCCATCAGGTAGCAGCCGATCCCCGGTGAAAACAAGTGCACCGGTCCCACCCCTGCAATTCTCTCAGGGGCCAATGTCAACTGACCGCAAGCAGGGTGGTAAGCCTCCTGGCGGTCCGCCACCTGATGATGATGGCGATGGCGATGGTGATGAAGACGAAGGTGACGGCCTCGGGCCTAACCTCGGCAATGAAGCATTCGCCAAGATGTTGATGAAGTTAGTAAAAGGCCAAACGAACGATGAAAAGCCCAGAACCCGCGAAAGCGAGACGTTGCGATTCAAGGAGATGCCAACTCCTGAAACGTACCGTGAATGGAAGACATCGGTTCGTGAGGATGTCCGCGCTGCATCTGACCGTCCAGACGAGGCTTGGCCTTGGATCATGGAAGTCTGGTCCGATCGCGAGGACAAGAAGAAGCTGTTGGAGGAGCTCGGCGAACCGGGAAAATTCGTGACTCTAGACACGAAGATTCTCGCAGCGCTCACGCGTTCAGCGAAAGGCGATCTGGCTCAGCGAATCCTGACAGCAAAGGAAGAATGTGCCAAGGAGGGAAAGGCCATGAGAGGAAGGCAGGTCTTGTTTATGTTTGACCAATATTTCAAGACCAGTGAAGAAGCCGGAAACCTCTACTCCTTGGAGGACCTGTTGCGTGTCTCGCGACACGGCGAAGGAATCATTGATCTCAAACGTTTCCTGAACGCTTGGGATTCCGTGATCGCCGGCATGAAAAGGCCGCCGGAAGAAAAGGTGTTGAAAGACATCTTGCTTCGCCAAGTGAGAAGCTGCCATCTGTTGCGGTACGACATTGACACATACGATCGTTGCCGTGATGATGATCCCAATAAATCGTACGATTTCCTAATGCGTTGCATGAGGGATCTAATCGAGAGGGATAGGCTCCGCGAGAACCGAGAGCGCGTGTCCAAGGTCAATGCCAGTAAAGCCCCGACGCCCAAGGCTGGTGCTGCCGCCCCTGAAAAGAGGGACCCCAAGAAAAAGAGCGCACCTAAGCCGAAGGACACCGAGGAGAAGTACTGCTTTGACTTCCAGAAGGGCTCGTGCACGAGGGGGGCAAACTGCCCTTACGCGCACCGCAAGGAGCCGCGAGGACGCTCCGCGACCCGTGGCAGGCCAAGTTCCCCCAAAGGCGGTAAAGGAGAGAAAGCACCGTGTTCTTTCTTTGCCCAAGGGAAGTGCACTAGAGGTGACAAATGCAAGTTTAGCCATGCCTCCACGGGCGGCAAATCTGCCGCCGCGGCATCGAGCAGCGAGGCCAATGCAAATCCTGCGGCTAAGAAGCGTGCAAATTCGCCTAAGCCTAAGCCCAAGGCCAAAGCCGCTGCAGTCTGCACCAGGTACGCCATGTTCGCAAAGCCGATTGATCCAATCGGAGTGTCATTCGACACCAATGCTCATGCGCATGAGATCCCCGCCGAAGGCGATGGTTTCAAGCTTGAGTATGAGGAACGGCAGTACAATAGGATGTTCCCAAGTGCTAAGGACTGCCCCAGGCCGACCAAAGGGACTAACAAGGCAGCGCGCAAGGCCGCGAACCAGTTGAATGCCGTAATCAAAGCCATGGAGAATGGAGCCCAGCCCGCTTGTGGTTTCATGTGCGATGTGGAATCCGATTCCATCTCAAGCCTATCGTGTGATGAGTGCCTGAGAGTTGCCATGCCGCCTCACGATGTTCGCAAGGATGTCGAAGCGCCAAGGGCAGCCACCCCTGCACCAAAGGGAAAGGACGTGTGGCTTATTGATTCCGGTAGTGAGCAGGACCTCATCAGCAAAGCTGCACTGAGGAATGCGTCCAAGGCAAT